CATTTGAGTCACCTCCGTTAAATCTTTCAATCATTTTACGACACCAATCCACACGATGGAGTTTTTGAGCCTCAGTCAAATTATGAGGTATCCACCGGGCGCAAAGCTTCCTGACCGCTAAATGTTCGTGGAGGATTTTGTGCACTTGACTCATACCGATGCCTAAGCTTGTCCGAATCTGTTGATAGGTCACTCTTTTGTCAGTCTCTATCATACGCCGCACAACACAGATGTTATCTTCAGTCGTCGCCGTAGAAGGCCGTCCCTCACGTAAATCATCAGTGAGATTAGTGCGACCACGTTTAAACTCATTAAACCAGTTGTAAACAGTCGCACGAGATGGGGCTTCATCGTGAAAGGCCAATCGTAGTCTATCATAACTTTCTTGTTGACTTAAATGACATCGAAAGTCATAAAAAATCATTGCACGAAAATTTTCTCGTGTTAAATTCATGATGACGTGACACAGACAATTTTCAATTTGCCGCCAAATCGTAAAACAAATGATAAATGAATGAAATATATACTCAGTAATATTGGCAAAGAGTTATATTTTCAAATTTTAGAATTATTTTTTTATTATATTGTTTATAAGTGGCCAGTTCTAAGAACTTTCAGTTTGACCCTCGTACATTTGCTTGACAGTGTGGACCCACCACCACCGTGTGGGCGACAGACATTGGCCATCGGCTTTTGTAAATAGTTTTTATACCGCGTGTATTCATTTTGAGACAAACTTTTTACTCAAAAATAAAGTAAAATTTTACTGATTGTTATTTTTTTTACCAATTACGAATTTGGAATGTTAACTTTTAGTTTATTTGCATCCCAAATTCATTTGTTTATATTTTCCCATGATGGAGGGAACGAACAATTACGTGCAACTGTCATTTCGCTATTTAATTCAGGAAAAAACCGATGTAAATTTTCCGCGAGCTAAAAAGTTTTCCTGTAATCGTAACATCGTCTATTACACAGTACAAAGAGACAAGTTCTCTGCAAGATCGCCAAAGGAGTGATCGGCCACATCATGCCTGCGAACTTCAAAATCATCCGAGAGCTACTTCACCGAAATCCATGTCGCACTCAGAAGAAACTCCCTCTGCATTCTAATGTTTCGCGCGTTTCAGTGAGCAAAATACTGAAATATGATCTTAAGGGAAAGCCCTATAGCCGCAGAAAAATTCACTTTTTGAACGATCGTCTTCGTAAGTTACGACACGAACATTGTCCATTGCTGCTGAAGAGACATGATGCCAGGAAGATAATCTTCACGAAAAAAATTAAAAAGTGTACGCTAAAAGTAGCAAGGATGTCCCAGCTTCTGCACGGAATGTCTCGCGCACTCATCATCCGGCTAGTGTGATGGTATGGTGGGGAGTTTCCTATAAAGGTGTCACTCCGCTCCATTTCTGCCGACAAGGTGTCAAGGTGAAAGCCAAGAATTGTCAAAGAGAAATTATAGAGCCCGTGGATTGAGGTTTCAGCAATACTCGGCGCCATCTCATTAGACAAAAAACACCCAAGCTTAGTTGAAGGAGAATGTGCCGGCCTTCATCGTGGCGGACGACTGGCCCTCCTCCAGCCCCGACTTCAACCCGCTGGATTATTCTTTATAGACTGAATTAGAGCTCAGAGCCTGCCGAAAGTCCCACCCACACTTGGAGTCACTGAAGCGCACTCTTGTTTAAGAAGCAAAGCGAATTCCGCTACAAGAGATTCGTGCCGCTTTGATGACTGGCCAAATCGTCTAAAGGCCTGTATTAAAAACAACTGCAGTCATTTTGGATAAAATATATATTTTATTGTTGATTATTATCTATTTAATGGTTACTGAAAATTATTGAAATATAAATTAATTATTAAAACAATTCATTTCGTCTCAAAACTTATGAACATACGAGGTATATGTTATGTTTTTATATATTTTTAATTTCGTATTTTTTACTATTTGTTCTTTTTGGTATATGTCTCATTGTTAATAAATCATTAAATAAATCAAGTGCTTGTATTTGTGACTGCAGTATGTGTAGTATTAGTGAACTGAATCATTTTTTTGCTTGTTTAAAGTATGATCGCTCTTTCATTTTAAATGACCTAATATCCATTAAAATTCCTTTCCCAACTTCCGTATCCTTCTTGCTCGCTACGAATAACGAATTTAAAAATCCCTAGCAAAATTTATTATTTCCTATAGTATTAAAGAGTAATATAATTTCTTCCTATCATCCCTTTACCTTATGTTATAATAATATCCTTCATCTTATCCTTATACCCTTCTAATACTAATTATACTCTCGAAAACCTTTAACCTTATCCCTTTCCTGACCTTTCCCTAACTTTATCCACAAAATCATATGCCAGAAGGCTCATTTATGGCAAGTTTAAATCTCTCTGTGCAACATTCTATGGGTAAACGTAGTAAACGTTCCACGGCAACAATAAGAGCACAAAAATTACCTGCAAAATTGAAACACGCTCGATGGTTGGCGAACATCGAAGCGAGACGGCTTCTGCTGAGCGCCAGAGGGTGCTGGTGGAGCTGGAACTCAACCTGAGCTCGCTGCCATCGGGTAGTTCAACCAGAAGCTATAAGACAGACTATGTCGAATTCTGGTTAGTTTATTCGCATGATAAAGATGTAGTTTCAGAGCTTAGTATTCCAGCTAACAATGTTTGTAGGAAAGTGGTATCTGGTTACAAACCAGAACAGTACGTGCCGTGCGCCTCGCACGATGTGGGTACTGTCGCTCGCGCTGCCACGAGACTCGTTTCACCTCTGCGAGGCCTGAGCTATGACCAAGGAACCCTGCACCAGCTATCAGAATGGCTTAAGTGATATCAGAATTTTTAGTTAGTTAAATCTAAATGATGATGATGGCCTGCAGCCGGCAACTTCATAATACAAGGTGAGTGATTTACCATTATTTCAGGATCGCCATCGGACTGGCTGTACTTTCGCAAGGTTTTAGTGAGAACTTGCGGCCAATTCGACGAATTAAAGCACCTGGCAAGTCTGTCCGTGACCTTGAAAGGACCGGCACGTGAGGCCATCGCTTCCCTTCTGGTCGTGTCGGACGATCGGAAGTAATTTCTGCTCTAGAATAAGTCTGAAGTGGTTGTTCTATCAAATATACTAACCCTAATAGATAATTTCGACTCTGGTAAGGAACTAAACGCAATATCATGTAAAATACGTAATTTTGTCTCTACAGTTCAGTTCTTACAGCACTCTAGGACTATATAGCTAGCCCAGAACTAGTGAATTCGATCCTCAAAAAGCATTCACCACTTTTAAGGGAGAAATGGGTTGACTATGCATTCTCTCAAACTGTTACGGGTAAACAAATCCTTATCTAAACCCACTCATCCTGAACCTATCTAATAAACCTAGTATCCAATCGGGGACCTAACTCACCATTAAGCCATGTTCATTTTGTCAAAGTCGAATTCACGTCATTGAGGGATGTCCAACATTTTTGTCCTGTATGTATTAATTCCGATAATGGAACTGCCTTTGTTGGGGCATCATGAAAACTCGATAACCTGTATGACTACGCTGAAAAAAAAAATCTTTTATAACGTCCACGGCTTCATTTATGGGCGGATGATGGGAGCGCCTAGTGAGAAACATCACCTTGATGCCCTCTCAGCTACATTAAAGGAAAGAGCCCCAAAGAAGGAGATCTTATCGCCACTCTAGCTAAAGCAGAGGTCATTGTGACTGCTAGACCCTTAATGCACGTTACCGTTGAGCAGGATGACGATTAGGCGCTGACTCCTTTTCAGTTTCTTCTTAGAGGACCTGTGCGTGACCATCTCCTGCGAATCCTTATGGACGCCGGCCTATGCTGCCGGATGGATTACAAGAAGGGACTAAGACTTGTTGATAATTGTGACAATGTTTCCTACCTGTCTGGCTTCAAGAAGATCACGCTCGCTGACTGGGATAGGCCATGGTGACATAATTCAAATTGTAGACGGCTCACTTTCCCGTTCTTCGTGACTCAGGGTCACCAGGGTTTATCCAGGCCGAGACGGGAGGATCGACGACGAACCATCGACGTACAGACTAAGGCCGGAACCCTTAAGCTTGCGATTTGAATGTTAATACCATTGACTAGTGTATATCCCAGAGTTAATTAATGCTCACACTGGGGGGAGTATTTCATAGTTTTCATATTTGTATGTCTAAAAACTTACTGAGAACTCTCACTCGCCCACGACCGTAAAATTGTACTAGCTGCTACCGCATAATCTTTAGTATTGATAAGAAATTAAAGATACAGGGAGTTCAATTGATGGAAATTATTTATTGCTTTTTGTCTTTTTATGATCAATAATAAGGTGATTTAATATGAGTACACACCGTGACGATCGAACAGATACTAATGATGAAATGAAAATGTAATACAATGAAGACCAAAAATAAAAGATAAATTCAAATAAAGTAAATAAAAAATATTTCATCGATTTTCTGGTTACAATTTTACAATGCATCTGATGCAGAAATGAAGAGAGAACCAAAAATAAAATATAAATCCAAATAAACTATGCCATTTATAACTAATCGTAATATTTTTCGAGTTATTAATGTAATTACTAAATTATAAAAAAAATATTTTAAAAAATTTGATACACTATACATCCTCGTTTCTGTAAATTTGTCTTGATATTGAAATTGTACTCTTAAGTACAATTTTGTACTCTTACTATGAAGTTATTGAAATTGTACTCTTAAGTACAATTTCAATAACAATTGTACTCTTAAGTACAATTTCAATAACTTCATGGTACATATGTAAAATAATTTAGCGATTATAATTCATTTCCACATCAAGGGATAAACAATATCACGACAACTAAGGAATTGAATTGAATAATTCATTCACGATGAAATTCTTGAGGTAATTGTTTATTGTACTTCAAAACTATATAAACCACACCTGGCAGTATCCTTCACAGTCTACGTAGTTTGAATAGGTACAAATAAAGTCAACATGATCTCCAATAAGGCTTTAGTCTACGGTATTTTACTTTTGGTAAGACCCTATAAACTTTATACTTATTATGTTAAACTTGCTCATTAAAATTTAAATTATTATACACGTAATATCTTCCATATACATTATTTTTAACATTAATATTCCGGCAACATTAACCCCACAAAACTTCAGTCACTCCAAGTACTGAAGTATCGGAGGCTCATTAAAAACAATAATCACTCTGTAAACTTGTCTAGTTACTGCTTTTACTCATATTATAGGAAACTCAAATCATTATACTTTATTACAGATTATATTTAACTATGTAATTGCCGAAGAAGTGTCTTCTCAAAGCTCAGGTTGGCAATTCCCGCTGATATCTGGTTTTAGACCTTTTGGATCCTCAGGGCCTTTTGGCTTTCCCAGCTTCAGTGGTCTGTCAGGACTATTTGATAACCCATCAATAACTACACCTGATACAACGACAACAGCACATAGCCGTGAAAGACGTGAGGCTAACAACGATGATGACGAGAATGGAAATAACGAACTTCAGAGTAGACTATTGTTCATCCATTTATCTACTATTACCTCTTGCAACTACACCACTCAGGTAAAATAGTTTGTAAGCGCTTACTAGGCGAGCTCATCATGATATTCTACTGACTAAAGACCAAAGGTCTACTTAATAGGTTTACGTAGACCTTTGGTCTTTATAGGTTTAAGTAGACCTTTGACTAAAGACCAAAGGTCTACTTAATAGGTTTAAGTAGAACTTTGGTCTTTAGTCAGTAGAATTAGATTGTGGAGTATTCTCACTAAGGAAGGAATTTTGGAGTTTCCACCTCTAAAGGGATTTATGAAGTTAAAAACGTGAATTAATATTCAAAATAACTTATTTATCCCTGATGTTTAAAAGATTGCCTAATATAACAACATTCCCATTCATATTGTTTTGTTTATATACATATATTTTTCAATAGGGTGGTTCCAGCTGCCTTAATTGTCGTCAAACTCTCCGATGTCTACCCACCAACGTAGGGGTACTGAAGTCTTGCACAGGTCTGTTCCGCTACTGCAACAATGGCCGTTGCTCTCTCTTCCAGGATTTACAATGCAGTGAAACCACTAGTACCCCTACGTCCACTACTTTAAGCTCAACCACCACAACTAGTACTTCAACCACTTCTCCGACAACGGTTTCTACTTCTTCTAGTGATTAATTAAATGTAAGCTCATCTTTTTAGATGATAAAATGTTAACAAATTATTATTCACTAATAAACGATACGAGTATACATATAGTTATCTTATAATTTTCTTTTGTTTACCTTGTACACAACAGATTTTGTAGTGGGTATGCATATTAATACTTTTTATGGTAAACTTAAATTATCATGTTTAGCTTTTTCTTAGAGTATACCTAAATTTGTCCTTTAAACTACTGTGAATTTGTATGTTCAAATATTCTTATGATTATATTTAATGTCTGAGGTATAACGGTTGTATATACGTGACTCTTTAACCCCATAAATTATCCTTTTTGCCTATAACACAAATTCATACAAAACATTTTACGTTATTTACCTACCGAGCAAAAGCCAACATACAAAAGGTGTCTGATAAAAAGAGTAACCCTTCCATAACAATCATTTTTAATAGTTGATTTATAAATTCGTTTGGAGAAATACCTACGATTTCATGCTATTTTTTTAACTAGGATAAATTCTATGAATTGTATTATGCATCTATATGTTCGAGATTAAATAACTTTCGCGAAGACCTACCATCAGATGAAAGCCCAAAAAATATAGAGACAGACAATCTCTTGACTTAACATATATTGTTATGTCAATTGTCTGAGACTCTATGATCTGAGATAGTGTGAATAGGGAAATATCAGGTGTGTCTGATGAACTCTATATCTGTAGATATAAACGAGCCTTAAGCCGTGTTTTTCGACTATTCCTATGTAGGTATATAATAATCATTGTAAGCAAATACACTAACTTCAAGATATTTGTCATGTTATCTTACTCGAACTAGTAATGGGATTTGTACAAGTTTTAGAACTAGACAGTTATTATAATGGCTTGATAGGTTTCAAATAAAACGATTTTCCCAAGTCGCAAAGGACTTATCACCTTCGAACTCCTTCTAATTGATTGATTGACTGAATGCAGTTTGAGCATTTAACGATCAATACAGAATTCGTTACTGCAGCGGAATGACATAAGCATTCAACAACAATGTTGAATCATTGCGGGCATTGTTATTGAAGCCGACGCCAACCAAAACGTAGATGATGTTTTGATTGTTAACTTTCCAAAAACTAAAAATGTATATGGCGTCGTGGATATAAAACTTAGCAAATACTATAATACTAATAAATAAGTAGAAAACTCATCGTAACAACGTTAATTGAAACGGTCTTGACATAAATAAAACTAAAAAGAACTCTTCAAAAATGCATCATAAATCTATCCAAAACCTATGCTGAACGAAACAGGGTAATATAATAAAAAAACAATTTCATCTTTTTGGTTTATTTTTCAACCAACACGATGTTTTTAAATAAGGTACCTGTATTAGTATCGAACAGACAAAACTACAGTATATTTAAATTTAATTATCTCGTACAATGGTCGCCAATGTTGCCCACTTTATTGTCTTATGTTTATTTTTAAAATAATAAAGAGGCTAATTTACCTTTATTATTAAAAGCTTTGACACTAAAAAAGCTTAAAGCTCACAGTTATATTATTTATTTATTTATTATAAAACATTATACTAAATAGTATTTGTCAAACACAGCTAATTCTAGTTAATAAAGAGAAAAAATTTAAAAAAATATGCCCAAAGATATGTCCCAAAAAGTGTAAGTATCTATATAGAGATAAATTATTATCAGTGGAGTAAACATTTAAAGAGAAATAACCGTAGTAATGTTTTTTCATATCACATATTATTTGAATAAGTTTAAAAGTTCAAGAATTTTTTTGATAAATATAAAAAATCCAACTTACTTTACAATACGAGTACAATTTAGTACAAGTATTCTTATTAAACTAATATTTGCGATTGACATTTAGTTATTTAAGTACAATAATATAATGTATACAATAACTGTAGTAGGCTGGCCAAGTCGTCTTAAAATTGAGATCCCTTAAAATATAATATTTACTTAGCTACAAATATTTTATCTTAACAAACATATATTTTAAATAACATATAAGTAACATTGATAACTGATGTAAGAATTTAATTTTAATATAAGTATATTATTGTCTTAATTATTCAGAATCCGTGTTCCCAAATGACATGTGGTTTACTTATTGGATTTTTAACGACAGCGAATTAAAAAGTTCGTTGACATATTCAGTTGCCAGTGCTGAGGGCCGTGCGGTCGCTCAGTTGGCACTGGCACAGCTACTGGTTTTTACGACGTCCAGGTAGACTGCTGTTACGGTAAGCCTTCCTAAGAAGAAAATTGTCCACCGCTGGCAGAAGCAGGTACCGTTTGTCGGATGTATGGTAAGGAATTTTGAGAGACCTAAAGTGGTAGAACCGAGAATTTTCCTTTGGATACCAGCGATTTTTCGTGAAAGAATCTATGAAGTTGGGAAAAGGTGACGTTACAGGTTTATTAGGGATCGGTAGGTCGTTGTTTAACGGTCGGTGGAGGATCCTGCCGGTCGGGTGCGAGTAAGAAGGTATTGCCGGCGACGATATGTCGGTGTCGTCTGTATCGATTGCTGGCTCAGTTTCGGGACTAGAGATATATTCCCTGTAAACAAAATAATATCACATGTCTGTAGAAACACTAACAAACACATTAACTTAAGTTATTACCAGAGGTCGGAATTAGGTAGAGTTATTTATGTACTTGCATCGAAATGTTGATATTAATGTGGACCTTCCCGGGATTTCTTTATTTCTTCTTTTTTTATTTCTTTCTTTCATTGATGTAAATTTGGCAACGTCGTGCGTGCAGTAGTTTCAATTGTGTAAAAGTAAATAACTTTTTATTTAAAAAATCACGGGATTTTTTCTGCTCTTTAAAATTAATCTCGGGATTTGAGGCATATCCACTTTATTCATTCACTGTATGAAATCAGTGTAAGTACATGAATAACTCTACCTAATTCCGACCACTGGTTATTACACATAATTCAACGTTTTAAAACCCGTATCTTGAAGGCACAATGCTTATTCGACGTATACCTAAACAGCTAGTCAAACCGCTAAGGCTTAAAGTCGCAAAATCAACAATATAGAAATGGTAAGCTTTCATCTTATTAATTTAATAAATTACGAGGGTCAAACTGAAAGTTCTTAGAAAATCAAAAACTGATTACATTAGCCAGTTATTAGTTTTATTATATCTTTTCAAAATATTGTCCATTCACGTCAATACACCGCTGCATGCGATGGAACCACTGGGAAAAGCACTTTGCCCACTCGTCCTTAGGGGTCTCTTCAATGGCATCGCGATACGCAGCCACCGCTTCTTCAGCATTCATAAACCGCTTTCCTTTAAGTTTTTCTTTAATTTTTGGAAATAAATAAAAATCACAAGGCGCGAGGTCGGGGCTATACGGCGGGTGACCCAGTAATTCAACGTTTGATGTCGCCAAATAGTCGATCGTTCGCTTGGCGGTGTGCGACGAGGCGTTGTCGTGGTGAAGGAGGATCCTACTGCGAGGTCGTTTCTCTCGAACTTTTCCAAGACAAGTGGCAAACAATTGGTAGTGTACCATTCTGCAGAAACTGTTTTTTGATCCTCTAACACAATTGTTGCAAAATGACCTATCCTTCCAAAGAACGAGGCCACCATTTTTTTTCCCGCACTTCGATCTCTCTTCACTTTAGTTGGCAACTCCTCGAAAGGAAACACCCACTGAGCAGATTGTCTTTTGGTTTTAGGATCATAACAGTAAATCCAGCTTTCGTCACCTGTTAGTATGTCGAACACAGCATTTGAGTCACCTCCGTTAAATCTTTCAATCATTTTACGACACCAATCCACACGATGGAGTTTTTGAGCCTCAGTCAAATTATGAGGTATCCACCGGGCGCAAAGCTTCCTGACCGCTAAATGTTCGTGGAGGATTTTGTGCACTTGACTCATACCGATGCCTAAGCTTGTCCGAATCTGTTGATAGGTCACTCTTTTGTCAGTCTCTATCATACGCCGCACAACACAGATGTTATCTTCAGTCGTCGCCGTAGAAGGCCGTCCCTCACGTAAATCATCAGTGAGATTAGTGCGACCACGTTTAAACTCATTAAACCAGTTGTAAACAGTCGCACGAGATGGGGCTTCATCGTGAAAGGCCAATCGTAGTCTATCATAACTTTCTTGTTGACTTAAATGACATCGAAAGTCATAAAAAATCATTGCACGAAAATTTTCTCGTGTTAAATTCATGATGACGTGACACAGACAATTTTCAATTTGCCGCCAAATCGTAAAACAAATGACAAATGAATGAAATATATACTCAGTAATATTGGCAAAGAGTTATATTTTCAAATTTTAGAATTATTTTTTTATTATATTGTTTATAAGTGGCCAGTTCTAAGAACTTTCAGTTTGACCCTCGTATAAAGACGAAAGTTTGGATGTCTGTTACTTCTTCACGCATTAACACTAATAGGATACTATTTATTATACTATACAGTTCCTTAGATACCTTAGATCCAGCTAGCGCAAAGCTAGTTTAATAAATAATAAATGCATAAACAAATGTGGGAATTCAACAACTCTATAAGAACTAAAATTGATTATCTCGTAAATCAAAAGTAAAATGAGTACTGTTATAAAATTTAACCTATCTGCGTATCATAACATACGTACTTGGTAATTCTGTAATAAATATCGATTTACATAACAATACCTACTACGTGTTCTAACATTAATTCAAAACAAATATAACAATGCAAACTAAAACAAAAGGTACGATCTGAATGCTGTTCACGTTATCGTTGTTGGTATAAGACTGTTATATTTATACACATATATTTATGTCAGTTTCCGTAGAGCGCACTCCGCAGACCAACATCCGGGCAACTATATCGTATTAACTCCTACATTTTACCACCGCATGTCGAGGTAACAAACATTATTCCCGGGGAAATGTTATTACGCAAGACTAAAGGGAGACGATAAGAGTATGCTCTCGAAAACGGAATTAAACTGTTCTCCGCTACGTAACAGCATTTAGACAATAATAGCTTTTATGAATAATAATAACAATAAGCGTTAAGGAAACAAAGGTTTCAAAACAAACATGTTCAATATACTTAGTTTTGCAACGGAACTTTTTATGGATAGTAGGACATACCTACGTTTAAATCTTTGAGGTTTTAACCTTCTTCTCTAATGAATGTCAAATTTCTATCGGTAATGTCGCTTTAAACTAATGACGTTTAATAGATGTTTGTGCCACTGGCTGTTAGTCGACAAAAACAAAATTCTTGAGTATGTATGTACTTGTAAAGAAATATTAAACACTTACCTAATTCCGAAATTCTCGTCAGCGGAATGCTTCCTGAAAAGTTAAAAGAAAGTCAGATAATGTTTATTATTACTAATATTTTAAAATTTTCTGTTAATATAAAGTTATATATTTTATATATAAAGTTATAGTGTATATAAACCAAATACACTTCTCTTAATAAAACTCCAAAGAATATATTGCATTATCGACATCACATACAAACGTTTACAATATTTGAGTCCAAAAACTACTCTATACCAGCAACACTCATACGGTTCTTAAACGCTTTCTCTATAATTAAGTCTATCACAAATTCACACAGTGAAGATAATATAGCTAGTAATTATTTCATTTTCTGAGCACATTTACTCGTCTATGTGTTTCGTCAGATACCTTTGGATGCCAAAGGTATTTGACAAAATAAAGGATTACAAGCTATAATCTTTTTTATGTGGCATGCTTTCAGTCCTTTAAAACATGCGATCCACGTTCTATCGCTAGTCTAGAAATAACTCTTCTTTTACGCCTTCTACACATTTTTTATTTAGATCCTACAAATATATAACCGTGAATTCCTACACAACAAAAACATCTAACATTTAACATATCTGCATTAACACTTATCATGCCTCTAACATTTCAGTACACTAAACGTTGACCTATTATAAGCACGAAAGCGTATTTTCGACTTTATTAAACTACAACCCAGTAATTCACACCATCAATACATTTATGTTTTCGTCAATCTTTACAAGACCTGTACATTTCTTGACTGGGCAGTAGAAGTCGCGCTCTACCAGATCTACTATAACGCCCTCCTGAAAACCTAAATGATGGAAGTAACCCTAATCGAGCCAATGAACCAATATGACGTTTTTCGAAACTATCACGTATATCCTCATCTTCATCTGTAACATACACAAAAAAAGGTATAGTTACTAGATTCCTTAATTTTTTAGAAAAATCTTTGCTACTTCTGAAAATAATAAATCATTATTTTCCCGGCTCCGTGGTCCTACCACATTATAGAAATAAAATAAATATAGATCAATTGTCATGATAAATCATAAGAACTATTTTTACGGTATAATTAGTCTACGATCATTTTTAACTTACCCACTGAGCGTTTATCGTCGTTTCCCTCAGTATTCTCTGGCACGTTAATGTCATTGTGATCCATAGTATCCGGAAGAGAAAGTATGTATCTTTTAGTTCTTGTATTAGGCTCAGTAAATATGGGTCTATAGAGGCCATGAACTGGTAATCCCATAGCACCTCTTTTGTAATTCCAGTTATCATCCATATCCATTTGATTCGTGTATAAATCGTTCATAGGCTGAAGATAAACGTTCCGCTTATAGGCTTGAGATAAAGGCGGGAACATATCTGGATTTACCGATTGTTGTAGATCGTATAATTCGTTAATATCAAATGGTCCATCCATCTCCGATAGAGGTGGAATAGGATTCTGATAAAACGGATAGAAATATTCATCACCATTTATTTCATCTTTCTTGTGAATCATACCGTTGCGTGCCATTGAAGCAATATTGCGTTTGTCATGTTGTTGATTGTACTGTCCTCTGCCACCGCGGTAACCATCTCGTGCAAGTGCCTGGATATTACGTTTCATGGCAGAGTAGCTCCGAAGTCTAGCAATAGAAGCTACATTCCTTTTTTCATGAGATTCGTCGTCGTCGGTTTCCTGCTTGTCGGTTTCATCGTATGGTGATCTATAAGTCGGGAGTTGTCCATTTTTAGCAAGAGTTGAAATGCTTCTCTTGAATCCTGGCGAAGCGCTTCTGAGATACCCATCCCTTGCCAATGCTGCTATATTTCTCCTTGGAAATGTTGGCCACTGATTGTTGATTTCAACCGGCAAACTAGCAACCTATTGAAAATGAAAAATATTTTTTTATATTAATTCTTAAAAACTATATTCACCTTAAAATAATTTAATAAAAGGTCAACTTACATGCTGAATATATGTTGAAAATGCTAACGCAATAGTGGCTACTGTTATTAAATTGCCCCGATGTTTCCCGCCTTCTATAATCATCTAAAAACAATATATGTACATAATGCAATTTTAAATAATGTTTTTCTTTCTATTCCATAGTTTTAAAATAAAAATTTTAATGATCGTTCCACGAACCACCTAGAACACTATATAATAGAAAAGTTTAGAGCCTTAGTTTCGTGGTTGCAGAATATATGATTTTACTCGTACAAATACTAATGCGTATCATGTTTCGTTTCTTAAAATTAAGTTTTATCGAAAAAACACACACCTACATATTAAACCGGCTTGACCTTTGACTATAAATAGTTCATAGCCTAGATTTACAAATAGAATACCTTTAGAAATTTCTCAGAGAAAACGACTTAATTGATGCAGTTGAGTTATTGAGTAAATTTTGTATTGAGGTAAGCTGATTCAGGAGTTTAAATTATTATTAATTATAGTTTAAATAAAATTATTACTTATTTTAAGAAAAAACTAGATTTTTAAAAATTTTGTAAGATATTTTTTCTATAATTTACTCAATGAATATAGGAGTTAGACATCTGTCATCAGTCAGAAATACAAATAATATGTCAGAAATATTTAAGTAATATATATATATTGAAAACTGTACTAAACCAACTGTATAAATATTATTGAAAAAAGCTTGAAGTTTTAAAATAATTCTTCGTTTCGCAAACAAAGATACGTGAGGCGGATACAATCCATGAATAATAAAAAGGTCGTAAAGCTCGCTACGGCCGATAATAATCTGTCACCTGTGCAGATATAAAGTTGGCAGATTCAATTTAGCTACAGAAGGTGCACACACTTATACTTTTCTTTTTGTTTTAATAGGAAGAAATCTTGGGATGATAAATGAATTTTAAAAAGCAATTTTTGTGGTATAACACTTTTAAAACAATCTTAATCGAGCTATGTGTATGTAATGAATCTTTTTGTCTAGAACTAAAATACAACTTTCCAGAAATCTTATTTTATTAAAAGATGCATCTCAGGCCTTCGCTATTCATAAATCAAATTAATTCGAATAGGGAGAATGAGCTATGACCAGCCGGGACCAACGGGTTAACGTGCCCTCCGAATCACGGAGGAGCCTGAGATAATAAATTTTTGGTCACCCATCTTATGACTGACTAATCTGAAAGTTGCTTGACAACATATCGCAATCCATTGCGCAATCTAGCTCCTAACATGAGGAGCTAGATTTCTTAATACACCTTAAATCTTTTTTGGGGCTTATAATTAACATTGCGTGGCCATGTCATATTCCTGTCTATACTAAAATTATAAAAAGGAATTTTTTTTTGTTTGTTTGTTAGCATTGAGTGAATAGGCTCTGAAAATATTGACTCGATTTAAAAAACTCTTTCGTCTAGGTATAATGCCTTGTATTGAATTCGTTGACATCAAAGTAAGAAAGAATTCATTCATAACTTTCTTATTAATGAAAAGGAGATGAAAAGTACACAAGACTATTAAAAATGAGATAAACAAGATAAGACGAGAAGATTAAAAGAGAAATCTGCTTTATCCTTTTTATACAACCTTATAATTTTAATTGGAAGGTCCTCGGGTTGATTCGCATTTATTTGCCTAACGATATTTTTAAATCTTAGTAATATCTCTACTATTATTATAAAAGGTAAATTTAATAAGGCTACGAAACTAATGTACTGTTTACTAAAAATTCTATCACCTGCAGAAAGCTACATAAGTCGCGGTTGACATAGGTTATAACTTACGCTGGCAAAGTCGTGGGAAAACAACTAGTTAATGTTAAAAAAGAAAGATTTTATAGATATTTTTTGCGTCTAATTGTCTTTGAAACTAGTAGGCAGATTATAAAACATTTTTCACACACGACATGTATCTTATTCGTCTAGCCGACGGGAAGCTACATCATACGCACCATTAGACTATAATTTAAACGGGCTCAGTCGCGAAAAAACAGCTAGTAAATAATATAAAAACTAATGGACACCAGTAAAACTCTCTTTTAGGATTTCGGTATTACTTTTATATGTATGTATAGGTGGTATTTATTAAAGTTCTCCAATATCAAAAACTTAGAAAACGTAGCAATCACTGCTATTATAGTAGTCATTTTATTTAGGTAACAAATCATATAACCTATCAGAAACAATATTTTTTACAACTAACTATACATTTTTGAAGAAATATATTATTATGCCAAAATTTGTCCAAAATATTAAACGTATAATATGTAAATATTAGCCGAATAAGCTCTAAATATGAATAGAATTTTAACAGAATATCAGCCATTTATTGAATGAATCGGTGAAATCTTAAAAACAACGAAGCGGCTCTCCTGACATATCATTAAGTAACATCCATCTCGGGCACCTATAAGTATTTAAAAGTTTTTCTATATGATAAACAACAAAACTAATTTTCAAACCATAATTATTTAATTGGAACTGTGTGTCTTATTAACCCTAAACTCGAGAAAATACTACTTACTAAGTAAAATAATTAAATAAAAGTATATTTACGTATTTTTATAGGTATACTCTTATTATATTTTATCAAGTTTACATTCACAATGCTATAAATTAATGCTATTGTTACTTAATCTATGCTATAAAATCTTTCCTCGTAATTTTATTTAAGTAAGTGTATCACTGTGGAATGTTTGGTGTAAGATGAAGAGATTTTAATAATTTGCAAGTATAATAAAAATACTATTTGACACTACATATAGGTAGGTACCTATGTACCGCAAAACCCCAGATCCGCCTTTAAAATCCCATTAACTTGATGAGTAAATTAAACATAAAACGGCATTACGTGCTCGTCTCTATTTATCGAATTAACTAGCATTATTATGTTATATCTTTATATGTAGATTCTCATAGTAACTAATCCTTATTAAAATTACCGACATGACTAAAACAAACAATCAAAAACCACTTTTAAACAGGCCCCTTTTTGGGCCGTCATATTTTTTTAACGTAATGAAAATATAACTTGCACAAGTATTTCAAAAACAAGTTATACACAGCACATATAAAAGGAGATTTTGAGAGAAATACTCACGTTTAACAGCGCACTTCTCCGCCACGGTGCACTTCAAAAAGTTGTACGAAACTTTCGTTGCCGCGTCGAATGGTCTTCGGTTTTTCATCAAGACACTCCCGAGAATGCGTATGGTAACTATGGCGAGTAGCTTTTATAGCTGAAATCGGGAAGCACGCATGCGCTGATTGGATCAGGCCAGGAGCATATTGCACAATTACATTAGTTGTGAAGAAATACTTGATATAGTAATAAAAGGTAGGTAGGTAAAATCGACAGAAACGGTTCTTTAAGGAGTTACTTTTATGAAGGTTTCATAATGCTAAACAATGTACCCTGACCATGAAAGCAATTTAATTTGAAACAACGAAGATATTCCGAATATAGTACCAATTCAAATCCCATTAAAATAATGACATAATAATTGAAACGCTTATTTTAAAGTTATACTTAATTATGTGTGCCCACGAAGTACGATTATGTATTGTGTAGCAATCGCTAAATCGGCAATTCTATTTTTAGCAATATAACCTTTTCGGAAAATCCATAATTTAATCGAAGATCTAAAATAAAACAAAACACACACGCGATACGAGTGCACCTACATAATCCATACCCAGATATAAATCCCAGCTACTGATGTGAAGCCTTTTATTAATTTGCCTAAGCAAACTTGAGATCTTAATTTAATTCATGGTAACAAAAAAATCCTTTTCAGGTTTGATGAGTAATTTAATTTTATTATATTTTTCTTGAGTTCAAACTCGTGAGCATAATGAAATAATAAATTTATTTAATACGTTTTACAATAAATTGTTATTGAATGAAATTAAATAGGTATGTATGTTTCTAACTCGACGAATTTTCACGAACTGACTCATAAAGAGCATATTGGATTGGTCAACATTTCTAAGTATGAAAAGTGAATAGTAAAATTAAATAATGTTAAAGATCAAAGACAAAAAGTTTGCATGCGGAAACCTAGGACGAAATAAACGGTGGTACGACATACCGTTACACTGAATTAATAGTAATTTACATTAATGTTTCACTTTAATTAATTATTATATTTGATCAATTCACAATGCTGTACTGAAAAATATTCTGAATGAAAAACGCTTAAAAATGCACTTAGGGGAGACCTAGGAGAGTTGTGACAATTTTTACATAAGGGTCTCTATCTCGCTTAAGAAACATTCCATAGTTATGACTCATGTGAATTAGTTTAGCGCCATTCCTTCTGTTTTCAAAACCATCACTAAAATTAATTAAAGTATAATAGTTTCTGAAAAAAAATAACAAAATTCAAGTCCACTCCCCTTGTCACAACTCTCCTACTACCGAGGTAAGTTGTGACAGGTACCGAGGTAAGTTGTGACATCATTGTATTTAAGCTATAAGATATAAAAATACCATTATATACGACATAAATAAATCAAGCACGTTTTTTTATCAAATCAGTACTTTAATCAGTACTATAATAATAAATTTGACTTGGAAAACACACACTGAACATGTTTGCAAAAAGTTGTCCCAGTATTCTTGTGCACTGTACAAACTTAGTAGGATCGCGAATCAGTGCACGGTCCTTACAGCTTATCACGCGTACGTAGTTTCAACTGTTCGATAGGGCATTATATTTTGGGGATATTCGACTGATTCTGTAACTGCCTTTAGAGCCCAGAAAAAATGTGTTAGGAGCATATGTCATTTACAGAGTACGGGTACCTGTAGGCCATATTTTATTAAACTAAATATTATGACCCTGCCATCAATCTATATATTCGAAGTTGGTATTTTTGTCAAACAGAATCAACAACTATTTGAAAATAAGACGAGATTGCGTCATCGAGACAAATTGTGTACGATACCCTCTAAGACAGCTGTGTTGAACAAAAGTATCTTTTGTATGGCTCCAAAAATTTTTGATAAAATTCCTAAAACAATACGTTATCTGGATAATTGTAATGTTTTTAATAGAAAACTTTGTAAATTATTAGTAGCTAAAGCATATTATAGTGTAAACGACTATCTAGCTGACAGTACTTTGTAAATGTATAAATACTTAATGAATGAATTGAATTTTTGACATAACATGTTATTGATTAGATTAGTTGACAATTACTAACCTACTAATATTGTATGCCTTTTAGGCAGATCACGGTGTAACTATTCAGTCCTTGCATCCAATATCTTTATATAACCTGCGATCAACAATAAAGATTGATTTGATTTGACTTGATTAATCATCTTTTAATACCTACCAACTAAAACAACATAGTATTAATATTCTCATAACAAGTAATTATAATATTTTCATTAACTTAATATGGTATCGCTTTGAGGTCAATCATATTATTGTTATAATTAGTATAAAATCTTAATCTAATCAGATTCACAATTATGCCAAACGTAATGCAGCTCGTCCCCCAGTACAATCTACGTGTGCCTAGCCTTTGCATTCAAGGCTTTGGACCCACTGATCATTCGATCTGCTGTCTGCATCGGTTTTAAGGCAAACCAAATAAAAGCAATTATTTTCTGCATCTTCTTCATCACTTGTTCTATTCTTCTATTAGTCTTCTTTGATTTTTTAGGTTTCTTTATTTTTTCTTCGCTTAAGACATGCTTCTTAACATTCTTAGATTTTCATTCTCTGTATAGTTATTTGTGTGTAAAATAAGTATGCGGTATGCCATTATACACCTTAAGTAGCTACTAACACAACAACAAACATCTAAAGTTAATAAAAAACATTGTAAAAATAGCCCAGCAGAAATATGGTGTAAGATAGGAGAGTTGTGACAGGCTGTCACAACTCGCCTAGGTGTTCAAAATGACGTCTTGGTCCGAATAATAATTCATATTTTCTAAACACGATGCGCATACAAAGATCAGTGTCACGTATTGAGACTTAAATAACTACATAACTTAGAAAAAATAACACATCAATGCACATATACTAAGATATGATATATATTCAAATAATATTTTGAAGAAAAACTTACTTTTCGCAATTTTTTGTACACTGACGATATATTTACGCAACTGTGCCATATGCACCGTCGACAGGTACTGAGTCGTGTAGCGCGTGTCGAGAACGACAAACAAGCGTTAAAGCCATCTCGCTTGCTATAATAGGTAGAGAGAAATCCTCCTTGTCACAACTCACCTCTGTCACAACTCACCTCGGTCTCCCCTACTTATTTTTTTTTTATATTAACAAAATAAAAGCATTTGTATGCTGTACCGGCATAAATAATTATGTCGTCAAGTATTGTTATTTAGACTGTGCCTCCAGTTACCAATTTTTTGTAAAAACAAAACTGCTGAATGTTGACTTTGATAACAAATAAAATTCTGATAATTCTGGTAATCGGTCTACCATTCGACAAAGAAATCGATAAACATACCTTCATTAAAATACATAAGTCCAGTACAGTACAATACAGAACCCCGTCTTTTTGATTTTGAAGTCCGTTAAAGTATTGGGCTTTTCTTCGCTATTACTTTACGTCTTAAACTACTCGTAGTTTAATGAAAAAAAGCCCAATAAAAACGCACCCCGAATTTTCATTAACTGTAGTATTACATTTTTAAAACTGTAAACTTCTCATTCTTTTCCTGTATTCTATGGGTAAAGAACTATTTTTAGGTTCAGGCGGATCAAAATTAAAATAATAATAATATATTGAGAATTATGTTGTATTAAACTGCTAGTTGTGAACTGAATAAAGAAAACTAGCCAAATGCAAGTTGAACTCAACCATGCACCTCCTTCTTATAGGTAACTTTGCTTTTAGAATCCTTATGTTAAATGGGTAAATAAAGAACACAGGAAATCATGCTAAAAGACGGTTCTTAAACTCATAACAACTAACGTACCTATACAAATATTAACTCGCAGTTGATAGTTTTTTATTTGCACACCTTACTATAATAAATACTTATTATCCAAATCTAAAAACTTCTAGATAGAAGTGTCCCTTATCAATAAGCATCTGCTTATTGATGTCATTTAACTCTATAAGGGCAAATATGAAATATTTTCCTGATCTTTATATGGATCATCTCATTAGCCAATAATTGGGCGCTAAGGGACGTATCGACTTGCCCTTTAGTGATTTATATCAATCCTCTGGGAATATCATGTGACAAGTTTTCTTAGCTATATAATTGAGGTATATATTTTAATTCCAACAAGGGCCGACCCGTTCTTATAGGCAAACTAGGCGACTGCCTAGGATGCTCATACTTGGGGGGCAACATAGCATGGCATGGCAAACAGATTATGTTTGGTCTAATTAGTTGAACCTTCAAAAATTACTTGCTCTTTTATTTGAGTACATGTATGCGGTAAGTAGTACAACTTTTCAGACCAGCAGAATCTAAGGTTTCTTTTGTCATTGGCAAAATTACACTCATTAATTGTCTTTCTTTATTTTTGATATTTTTTTCTACTGGCGCTAAGTTCCAATATTTGCCTAGAGCGCCAAGTTTCACTGTACCGATGCTGATTCCATTATACTACTAAAAATTGTGTCACGGGAAATTTTTTAGGGAAAACCCAAGAAGACGTAACCTAATGCGATGAAAACATTCACGCACCAGAAGATCGAGGAAGATGTTGTAATTTGGTCCGAGATATAATTTCTCATAGAGACCACGACACTCAGTAGAAAAAAAAACTACGCAAGGAGGAGGAATTCAGCCTACAAAACCTACGGAGCCTTCCAAGAAGCTTATCCTATTAATATTATAAATGTGAAAGTTTCTTTGTTTTGGATGTTTGTCCGTCAATCACGCCGAAACTACTGAACAGATTTTGATGAAATTTGGTATACAGATAGGGTATTAACTGACTTAGATAAAAGGAAACTTATCCCACTAAACATTTCCCTAGGGTCCACGCAGGCGAAGCCGCTGGCGAAAGCTAGTATTAATATATATATATATATATATATATATATATATATATATATATATATATATATATATATATATATATATATATATATATATATATGTATATATATTTCTTGAGCATAGACAAGTTGTTTCAAAAAATAAAATGAAAGTTAGTGGTGTCATTTAATCAGTAGGTATACAATA